TAGCTAGATAGCTAGATAGCGAGAGAGAGAGAGAGAGAGAAAGAAATAGATAGATAGATAGATAGATAGATAGATAGATAGATAGATAGATAGATAGAGACAGACAGACAGACAGACAGACAGACAGACAGAGAGAGAGAGAGAGAGAGAGAGAGAGAGAGAGATGGGGGGAGGGCAAAAATATTAGATCCCTCCCACTGGTTATACTGGCTATCAATGGACTTCTTGCAATCGTCCAAAATGCCAAAACAATTCACTTTTGAAATGTGCCTCCTCCGATAGAAAAATCTAGCTAGGAAGCCATTTTCTCCCTATCTGAACTCATTAGAAACTATCTCCTACTTCTTCGAAACGTCTCGGAAAGACCAAAAGCCACTTCTCCTTTCTTCTCTCACCTCTTGGAAGTTCTGCTCAAACTTCCACAGCTGCAAGTACTGCTCCATCTTCAGCTGATGCTTCTCCCAGAATCCGTCAAAAGCTGTTTCCATCTCGTGCAGCTGGGTGAGTAAGCTTTCCTCGCAGGAGTAAACAAAGTCAATCACTTGGTGGATCTCCGCGCATGTTCCTCCATGTCCTTCTGTCCTACATCTATCTATCCAAAGGACTCGTAGGGATTCACCCACAGCGAAATCTAGAAAGTCTACCTTGGCCTTGATACCAACCAGTTCTGAGACTACGTAGCCTTAAGATTTATGCCCTTCTTAAGTGAAAACTGGGATCGGGGAAGAGCTGTTGATTCATAGAAAATGGCTAAAATAACACCCATAAACTGGATTTTTGGGACACAGTACACCCCCTTTCTATTAATTCTAAAGAACCTTTCCATTCTTTCTGACCCGCCTCTTTCCGGAATCTCCAGAAAAATTGACCAACCGTCCTCTTCCAATTCATCTAATACTCTACATCCTTGGTGTTTGAAGGAACTAACTTGGGTCTGCATGGCGGTATTTGACTCCCAGCCTTAACCTAACAAACACACCTTGGACAGAGGCCAGGGAGAAGTGGTGAGGACAGGAACAAAGGTTCTGTGAGCAGGGATGGGCCACGACAATTTTTACAGGTAGGTAATTGACAGAGAACTATGCCTTTAAGAGAGTTTAAGCCCCTTTTAACCACATGCTCGTTCTAGTTTTCTGTGGGATTATACCTCTTAAGATCAGGAGTAGGATTCAGCCAGTTCAGACTGGTTTGGGGGAACCAGTAGCTCCGATGATCAACTGGGAGGGGACTGGTTTGCTCCGATGACCAGATCGGCCCACTCACCGGCCCCTGCCCTTTACTTATACCTAGTTGATTCGTGTGGCAGCAATAGCAATAGCAGTTAGACTTATATACCGCTTCATAGGCCTTCCAGCCCTCTCTAAGCGCTTTACAGAGTCAGCATATCACCCCCAACAATCCAGGTCCTCATTTTACCCACCTCGGAAGGATGGAAGGCTGAGTCAACCTTTGAGCCCGTGAGATTTGAACTGCTGAACTGCAGATAGCAGTCAGCTGAAATGGCCTGCAGTACTGCAGG